GGGCTGTTGCTGGCAGAGCCTGGTGCCCACTTAGATACCTCCATGGGCCACCACCCCTGGTGGCTGAGATGGTGGTGGTGGCACTGGTGGCCTCTACATTGACACTATCATAGTTCCAGGCTTCCTAGGACTGGAAGGCACTGGAAGGTTAATGATTCTCTTCCTACCTTGTGCAGTGAAGAGAGTCACCTACTTCACAGGGGTATCTAGGATAAGCTGCCTATCATTAGGCTTGGCACTGTGCTGGGCACATGGCCCATAAATGGGAAAGGTTGACTATGATTATTACCCCCAAACAGGTTGCAACCAGTTAAAGCACTTGCCAGTCACATCACATAGCTTCCCATAAAACCCTCCCCACAGGGTGGCCAGAACAACAGCAAGCATCTGAAAACTTCTTTTAGGTTCATCTCCCTAAAAGAAAAGAACCTGGGTTATTAGGAGAGGAAAGATCTAAAGAGTGTGTGGAATTAGTCCAAAGAATTTAATTCTCCAAGAATAAAAAAACAAATGGCTTGGTAGGAAATGGGCAAAAGGTACGAACAGGATGGCCTAGAGGACAAATCTGGAAGGCTGGTGACCACATGGCAAGTTCACGCCATTAGACTGGAGGGTACTGAAGAGTGTGGCTGAGACTGTGACGTGATGGAACACACACAGCCAAAAGCCACTGGTGTCCACCCCCATTGCAGGGCCTCTCCCCTCCTGCCCAGGAAACCCCCTTTCTGAACCTGGTATGTATAGTGTTCATTGAACCGTTACTACATACATATGTACCCACTATCTGAAAATAAAGCAAACAAAAGTCAGGAGTCTAATGAAATTTCCTATTGAATTAGCCCCCTGGTGGTATCTAGCCAGAGGTCAGAGGAATGTAGTCATGCACCACACAATGACATTTCCATCATATGGATGGTGGTCCCATAAGATTATCGTGGAGCTCAAAAATTCCTGTTGCCATCATAATATCATAGCGGCCACACATTAGTCACATGTCTGTGGTATTAAGTATGTTTTCATTGTTGTGCAACCATCACCACCGGCCATCTTCAGAACTTTTTCATCTTCCCAAACTGAAACAATGTCCCCATTAAACAATAATTTTCATTCTCCCCTCCCTCCAACCTCTGGCAACCAGTATTCTAATTTCTTTCTCTGTGAGTTTGCCTATTCTGGGTGTCTCATGTAAGTGGAATCATACAGCATTTATCTTTTTGTGACTGCTTTATTTCAGTTCATGTAATGTCTTCAAGGTTCATCCATGTTTAACATGTGTCAGAATTTCTTCCCTTTTTAAGGTTGAATAATATTCTATTGTATGCTCCTGGCCTGGTAGTTCACTTGTTTAGAGCGTTGTCCTGATACACCAACGTTTCAGGTTCTAGCCCTGGCCAGGGCACATACAAGAACCAACCAATGAATGCATAAATAAGTGAAATTGATGTTTCTCTCTCTCTAAAATCAATAAAAAATAATTTTAAAAATATATATATATTCTATTGTATGTATACACCGCATAGTGGACACTTGGGTTACTTCCATCTTGCAGCTCTTGTGGCTAATGCTGCTATGAACATGGATGTGCAGATATCTGTTCAAGTCTGTGCTGCAATTGTTTTTAAGACTGTAGGTAAGGCATTTTGCCTAGCTCCTTGTTTCTCTATGAAGCCAGAAAGGTTAGGGTCTGTCCTTTGTCCACAGCCAGGGATGGGACTTGGAAGCCACCCCAAGGCACTCAAGGTCCTGTGCTCCCCTCAGAGGCGATGAGCATTGGGTATGAGTCTCACATTTCTCCTCTTTACAGCTATGCCTTTTGCTTTCTGTACGAGAGAGAAGCTTCCTTGGACAGAATTTGCTGAGTCAGCAGAGGATGGGCCCACCACCAGGTTCTGTCAGAAGGTAGGACATTAACTGCTCCTCTGGCGGCAGCTGGCAGACATGTGCAGGTCACAGAGCGAGGCCACAGCTGCTGGGTGTGGCCCTCACCATGGAAAATGCACCTGCTTGATGCTTGTTTTGCCAGATAAGGTTAGATAAGACTATTTACTGCCCTTTTTTAGTGTACTTTCACTTAAAATCATAGAGCTTCAGAGCCAGAAGGGCCCTTAATGGCTTTTTCAGGTAAGGGAGCTTCAGCCAGGGAAGGGTGGCCTGGGTGACCCTATAGTAGGTTTTGTAGCAGCAAGTGGCAGAGCTGGCACTCAGGGACCAGGGACAAAGTGGGTTCCTTGTCCAGAACTCTGCTCCTCCACCTGCTGTTTGCCTTGAGTTATGTAAGCTTCTTTGCATGACCTGTCTTCATCAGTGTAGAAATTGGATTTCATTTTTCCTTATTAAAACTCATAATACATGTTGTATGATCTCATTTATATGAAATGTCCGGAATAAGCAAATGCATAGAGGCAGAAAAGCAGGTTAGTGGTTGCCAGGGCTGGACAGGGAGAGGGGTGGAGAGCAACTGCTAATGGCTCTGGGTTTCCATTTGAGGTGATGAAAAAGTTCTAAAATTAGATTGTGGCAACGCTTGCACAGCTCTGTGAATGTACCGCTGAATGGTACAAGAATGAATTTTATGCTATGAGAATTATATCTTAATAAAACTATTATCCAAAAACCCTTAACATTGAGGTTACAAAGAGTAACTGTCCTCACCTCAAACAGAAGAACTCCTTTCATTTCTCCATATCCCGTTTCAGACTTTATGCATATATTTAGGGGGTTCTGAGCAGAACTGTAATCCTGGTGACTCTGTCAATGCTTAGTTGTGATCAGTGTTCTCAGGCTGTCGGGGCGGGGGGTCTCACCCACCACGCTGTCAATTCTATGCTATGGAAGAAAAAAGGAAGGAGGCGCTTGCAGATGGCTGGGTGAACCAAGGCTGGAGGAAGAGGAAAGGAAGAGTGGGAAAGAGAAGTGGTACCAGGGGACACCTGTCTGCATCAAGGGGTCTGGGGACTCATGGCCACCTTTATATGGCTTGTAGCATCACCTTCCATCCTGTGCCTTTCCTTCTCTCCTGTCATTAAGGCCAGAGGTAATGAGAGGCTAGTTAGAGTTGAAGACAAATGACTGGCTGGGGCTGTTCATCCTGCTGGTCACCAGGTCCTGATACTCTTATTTGAGACAAACGAATTCAGTATCTAGATCTAGATACTTTTTTCTGAGGCGAGAATAGGGATGTTACTATCTGTAACCTCTTTTAATGTCAAGGGTTTTTTGGATGACAGTTTTATTAAGATATAATTCACATAGCATAAAATTCATTCTTTTAAATCTCTTATTTTTTATTGTATTAAAAAAACATAACGTAAAATTTACCACCTTAATCATGTTAAGTATATAGTTCAATATATACATTCACCATGTTGGGAAACAAATCTCCAGAACTTTTTCATCTTGTCAGTCTGAAATTGTGTACCCACTAAACAACTTCCCTCCACCCCCAGCCACTGGTAACTGAGTTTTTACTTTGTTTCTGAGTTTGACTACTTCAGATACTGCACATAAATGGACTCATACAGTACACATTTGTCCTTTTGTGACTGGCTTATTTCACTTAGCATAATGTCCTCAAGATTCATCCCTGTCAAGGATGTGACAGGATGCACTGTCCAGCATTTATGTGACAGGATTTCTTTCCATTTTAAGACTGAATAATACTCCATTGTGTGAACATATCCACTCACACATAGGTGGACACTTGGGTTGCTTCCACCTTTTGGCTATCATGAATGATGTTGCTATGAACAGTGGTGTGCATATATCTTTTAGAGACCCTGCTTTCAGTTCTTTTGGTTATACACCCAAAAGTGGAATTGCTGGATCAAATTCTATTTTTAATTTTTGAGGAAATACCATACTGTTTCCCCAAGAGCTACACCATTTTATATTCCTACCAACAGTGCACAAAGACAGTAATCATTCTTATTTCTCTGAGCTTGGGCATCAGGACAACACTGGGATTTAGTCTTCCAAACAAGTGATGGCTCTGAACCAAGGCTAGTTATTTAGAAGAACCATTGAATTCTTCAATAAAAATCTATGGCAGTTGATTTGAAAGTAGGACTCACTACATTTATAATTTTTCCAGCTGGCAAAGAAGCATGACATGGTAGTGGTATCCCCCATCCTGGAACGAGATGGAGAGCACGGGGACGTTCTGTGGAACACAGCTGTAGTGATCTCCAATTCTGGAAAGGTCCTGGGCAAGACCAGGAAAAACCACATCCCCAGAGTGGGTGATTTCAACGAGGTGAGCTGCCCCTCAGGTGGCCAGCCTGGCTTGCCCGCTTTTCCATGCATAGAGCTCAGTGGGTCTTTCTGCCAGGGAAGTTCTGTGTCAGATCATGTTACATCATGCAACACTGGAACACAGTATGGATGCAGGGCTCAGGGGCCTCCCCACATAGCCCTGCATCACATGAATGGATAGGATTCAGGGGGACTCTGGGAGAGCCCAAAACACCTTTAGCACAGAGGTTTATTATTTTTTTTAATATTACTTGATTTGGCTTCCTGAAATTCTTCTTTGAAGTAAGTAGTTTATAATTTAAACCAAAATAAATCATGCACAAATGTGAAATAATTCCTGCAGCCCCCTTCAGGCTCTGAGCTTCTTGCCTTTCTAGTCCTTGTTTGGAGGGCAGGGGTCCTTGTCTGTGGCTCATATGGTATCTGAGTCAACCATTTCCATGTGTTGGGTGACATTGAGTGAATGTGTGTGTCTGTGCACATGTGTCAGGTGGGGCTTCGTGCCCAAGATCAAGGTCTAAGTCAGAGGAGCTGTTTTTATTGGTTAATGCTAATTTGTAGGTTGGTAGAATGGAGGAGATGGACATTTGAAGGAGGGATATGAACTCCACCTAATACCTACAATATGAAATCTGAACAGCTGTTCAGGGTGTGATATTCTCAGTCCATCATTACCCTCCCTGATTGTGGGGGTCCAGCACTCTCAGCTGGTCAGACAAATGAGAAAGGATCTGCAGAGCTAGCCGAGGTTCCCTAGGAAGAAAGAAGAACACAGTGTTTCTCAGTAACACCTGGATGTGGGGGCAGGAAAATGTGCCCCTTACCTGTTTACCCTGGGATTAATCTTTAGCTCTCTGAAGATAGTGAAGGGCTTGTCTCAATGCACCAGGATCTGCTTCGTGTCCACTATGTGTGGACATCCTGGTTGCTGCCTGGCCCTGTGAATTTTGAAATTAATGGGAAGAAGCAAAATGCTCTGGGAACAGATCTGTTTAGGACCCCAATCTACCCTCTACCTGCCCCCAGTGCTGTCCATGAAAATGTCCCAGGAGCAGCACCCCAAGGGGGCAGGTGAAAAGGGAGGGATGGCAGGACTGTTTGCCACCTGTCTGCCCTGTAGGGACCTCCTTAGCCTGGGCAGGATGCCCTCTCGGTGTGAGTTCTAGTCTCAGACTGGCCTTCATGAACTGGCAAGTCACGTGCCCACTCGGGCTCAGGTGTTCTCACCCTGGCAGGCAGGGGTTGCTCTTGATGAGCTTCTGGCCCCTTCAGCTCTAACATTCTTTATAGGAGCATGTGACTGGTGAGGACATTGACCAACTCATCTTAATACTGACCAAACCTCAGCTTGTAGTTGTACCATGATTGAAACCTAATCAAAGTTTATCTTTGAAATACTGCAGGAAGTTGCTTCAGGGTTTTCTTGACGTGCCACAGAAATTGTGGGTAAATGCATAAGCCACAGTGATTTCCCCTTGGGTTAGCTTGTAGTTACTGTGTCTGGGGTTTCTCTGTGTTTTTTGTTTGCTTTGGAGCATATTGGAATTTTGAACTTAGAGTCACACCCAAGAGTGTCACTTTTGGAGTACTGGCGATATTTCATTTTTTTCTGCCAAGTCTAAAGAAAGGGAAATCTTATAGCTCAGAGGCTTCAATATATGGCCCTTTGTCTTCCAGTCTACTTACTACATGGAAGGAAACCTGGGCCACCCTGTGTTCCAGACGCAGTTCGGGAGGATCGCAGTGAACATTTGCTACGGGCGGCACCACCCCCTCAACTGGTTCATGTACAGCGTCAATGGGGCTGAGATCATCTTCAACCCCTCAGCCACCATTGGAACACTCAGGTCCCTGAATAGTTGGGATTTGGGACGGTTCTTGGGTTTGGTAACAGGCAGGTGCAACCACCAGGGTGTCTAACAAATCTGAACCCTGGAATTGTGTGTTGTATATTTAACCAACTTTTCTGTGAAACAAACACCAAAATGTCAATTGCAGCCTGCAGAAGAGCTGCTCTGCTGTGAAATACTACCCTTTGCTATGATTCTGAACCCTAAGGTGATAATAATCCCCCCACTCACCCCCGTAATCATCAGGATTAAAAAAAACTTCTCAAGTGCCAGAGCAGTAGACCTGGCCAGCATTAACTCCCCTCCCTGTCATAGCCACTGTGCTGGGGGTGGGGGCAATGAATGCAGATTCCTAAGCCTGTTGTCTGTAGCATCCAATGCTTGGAGAGCAGGCACTTGAACAAAAAGAGCAAATGAGAGAGTCGGAGCTGAGAGGGTCCTTAACAGACTAGTCAAGTAGCTCTGAAACGGGTTTTTAGCCAGCAAGTGTTCTCTTCTTTAACCACCTGACAAGTGTTCAGGTGTCAGCCTAATCCCAAAACAGATAAAACTGTTCTGATCAAGGCAGTGGAGCTGGCTTTGGCAGCCTCTATCTCCCAGCTCCAGGGCAGGACCCCTCGTGTCCCTCATTTAATAATGACAGGTAAACTAAGATGACCAGCTTGACTGCACTTTTGCTGCCTCTCTCTTCCCCAACGGCTGAGTATTTCGGTGGTTTCCAGTTTTGCATCATTAACAAGTACCAGAGCTCTAGGAATTCTGTGCAAATAACTTTCTCCCCAACTCACTTCCCCTAGAGCAGGATGTCTGGATGGATGCCTGGATCAGGACGGCAGCCTTGCACTCTGTTGTCCTGGCTCCAGTGCCCCAGCAGGGTGAGGGCTGCAGGAGGGCAGCTCAGGGAGTTCTGATGGTCAGCTTTGAATTCCCAGTGGCCCACTCTTGTCACTCTTGTCCTCATTCTACTAAATTTCAGTCGAATTTCTTCTAAATGCCAGAATGTGACATGTACTTACCTTTTTTAAAAAACAATTTTATTTATTTCTTGGCGAGAGAGAGATCCATTTGTTGTTCCACTTATTTATGCATTCATTGGTTGCTTCTTGTATGTGCCCTGACTGATGATCGAACCTGCAACCTTGACATATTGGGATGACGCTCTAAACAACTGAGCTACCCGGCCAGGGCTATTTTACCTTTTTGAAAAAACACAGTGCTACTTTCTTAAGACTGACGTTCCCGCAGCATTCTGATTTGCACAAAAAGTCCCTTCTGGAGGCAGAAACAAACCCTGTCTGCTATCACAGGTCCACCACCCCATCTGCACACCTGAAGGATTTGTCTATGTCCAGGAGGAGCACTGATGGGGAGGGAAGAAATCACATCTCGGATCTCCCCTCCGAGAATCTCCCACAGGCCTGGTGGCAACTTGATCAGTAAGACAGCATCCACTGGCAGCCGTGACATAAAGTAGTTACTGGTCCTCCAGCCACTGGGTCTGAGAAGAACCTCCAGGCCACCCCATAGAGTAGCCCCCTCCTGCCGGCCACATATAAAGCATTTAGCAAGCTCCATCTCCATGCAGAGCCCTGGAAGAACCTGAAGCCAACACCCTGAGCTCTTGGGCTAGGGAAGGCAAAGCCGTGGCCTCAGTCTCAGATGGCCAACTCCTTGACCCCACTCCCTTTTATTAGCCCAAATTAAGCAAACAGAAACACCCCGGACATAATATGCACATAACTGCTTATGTCCACAGCAGCCTATTGGGCTTATTAAAATGATCAATTTTCCTTCCTCAGCCAACTGTCGCTTAACTCATGCCTTTCAAGGGTGTGGTGAGGCTGGTAGTTAAAACGCAAAGAGGTCTTTTAGAAAGCAATATGTTGCCCTGGCCTGTTTTGCTCAGTGGTTAGAGCATCAGCCCACGGACTGAAGGGTCCCGGGTTTGATTCCGACTGAGGGCATGTACCTCTGTTGCAGGCTTGATCCCGGGGGCCTTGTGCGGGAGGCAACCAATTGATGTGTCTCTCTCTCACATCGATGTCTCTCTCTCTCTCCTCCCCTTCTACTCTCTCTGAAAAGTAATGTAAAAAATATCCTCAGGTGAGAATGAAAAAAAAACAAGAAAGCAGTATGTTTTATGAGCTACTAAAATTTTCAGATGATTATACCCCTCGAACTTCGCCTGAGGAAGTAGCTAAGGAGGAGGAAAAGGCTATAAGCCTAAAGATGTTTCTGGCAGCTCTGTTTATAATAAGAGCAAAGCTGGAAGGAAGAGAAACGAAGGGTTAGGAGAGTTTCAGCCCATCTCTTCCGTGGGTTACTGTACAGCCATTGAAACAAGACCTTATGAAGATAGTGCAGTGTCATTACAAAAGCCCATGAGCAAAAAATGATGTATCCAGACTGTGATCAGAACTCTAAATATTTTTGCCAAGGATGGTCATGGAGTGTGGAAAAAAAATTACAACAGACGTTTCAGTAGGATGGTGGGATTCTGAGCGATTTTCTTAAAATGATAAAGGATTATTTGTGGAATTGACAGTGACCGTTTTTAAGCACAACGCTGGGCAAATCCCCGCCAGGTGCACACAAGCATTCCCTCCCAGCTTTCAGAACCATCTGTCCCCATCTCTGACATCTCTCCCGCCCCACACGCTATGGGTTGGCAGGGTGTCCTCACCCATTTTGGGGTCTCACAGTTCTAAGCACACAGTGGGGTTAAAGCGCTTTTTCATAAACTGAGTCAACCTGGCAATCCCATGCAGCCCGAGTGGTCGAAGATATCCCCATGTCTGTGTGTTAATCAGAAAGCCCATCCCCTCGCTGCATTTTGTCTTCCCCCTCTGATTATTTTTAGGGGCTTCTGTAGCCACACTGGGAATATGGCAGATGTCCCCATGTCCCCGTTGGGCTGTGACTCCCGCACGTGCTGGGCTCTCACGAACCTCCAGCTTCCTTTCCCTCACTTGTTTTGAGAGCCTAAGTTTATTGCCAGCTGTGGGTTTGAGTCCTACGCAGCACATCCTCCCTGGAGAATTGCAAGAAAGATGTTTTATGGTACTCGCCCTGCAACTGTCTATTTAATTCCTGAAATGTCATTTATGGGTGTGTTTCTGTAAAAATCCTTTCTTAAAAGTTTTGTCAGCTTGGCTTAGCAGCTGGGGGAAAAAAGCAGCAAAATGAGGCCCCTCAATCAAGCCTGTGATTTTTTTTTCCCAGACTCGTGAATCCTCCTGAGAATTAGGCTTATGACAAGCATCCACCCCCTCCACCTCCTCCCTGGTTTAAACCAGGTGCATGCTGACAGGAAGGAAGATTCCAGGGCATTCTGCTCCCAGTCAGTCCCTTGGTATTTCCAAGGGGGCATTATGCCTGTCAGTCCTCAATCTCAATGATGCTGTTCCTCAGACAAGAGATAACTAGTGACCAGGAGGCCCACTGAATTCCATGGCACATTGTAGTTGGTGGGCTGGAGGACAGGATCTCTAGTTGGGGCCCGGTCTCCTGCCACGATCTCCCCTGTGCAGGTGCTGGCCTTAGGAGAGCCCACAGTTCAGCTGTGCCTGAAGGTTGCCTCCTTCCTGGGCTACTAAGACAACCAGGGAGCCCCTGCTTAGAGACTCAGGGTTCAGAAGAGGAAACCAGAAAGGCACCAGAAAATGGGGACCAGCTCAGGCGAGGTGCTACCTGCTACAGAATCTACCCCTTCCCCATTACCTAAATTCCTTCAGGTTTACTGTTGTTGTGGCCTGAAATCTGTCCCTGTGTAGACTGCTTAGCAAGGCAACACAGCAGGGCAGGGTTGGGCAGACAGTTAGAGCCTTCACAGAGCCATGTACAGGGCCCCTAGCTCTCTTCTGACATTTTCCAGGTGAGCTGCCCAGCCTGGAAGGTGGGTTCCTCACCGACCTAGGAGGAGGGAAGGAATGAGAAGTAGCCTTTGTGGAATTCTTGCCACACAGCCCCCTCTAGAAGCTTCACCTGCATGGTCATTTGGTCTTTATATTTCCCTTTGAGGGATTTTCAGAAGGGAAAACTGAGGCTCAGGATGGGGATTTGATCTAGGGCTGCTGCTGCTTGCAGCAGTCCTCTCCAAAACAAAGGGCTCTTTGGGCTTGAGCATGGGACAAACTGAGGACAAGCTGGCCTGCTTGTGAGTTAAGGGTCACCCACAGGCACAACGAGTCCCCCTAGTTGTCCCCACCAAAGGCCGGGAAGGCTAGCAGCCGAGCTGCAGCTCGGAGCCAAGCATCCATCAAGTCTGGCTGGGAGTGGGCAGCCTAGTTCCTCTCATTCTCCTCTCACAGTGAGTCCATGTGGCCCGTCGAGGCCAGGAACGCAGCCATTGCCAATCACTGCTTCACCTGCGCCATCAACCGTGTGGGCAAGGTAAGTCCCTAAGGCTTCAGCTTGGTCAACCAGGTGTGCTGAGGAGGGGACAGAGCAATAAGCTGCTGTGAAACCTGTCTGCCAGAGGAGACCCAGCCTCTTCAGACCAGTGAAGGCCACAGGGAAAGGGGCTGCTGTCTGCTGGCCCTGGGGGGGACATGCCACACCTCTTCTCCCTGTTCCCTCTTCTCCCCTGCCTCGAATCCTAGGGTCCCAGAATGGGGGAAACTGTCTTGGTCTGTTACTTTTAAAGATATCACTATGTCTCTCCTCTATTTTTGTCTGTTTTTGCTTTAGCTAAAAGCATTTTTGAAAGGCTCTCCCTCTATTACTAGTAAGGATCTGGTTTCAGATTTTTCCCATTGGCCCCATGCACTGAATGATTCAGACCAGCAAATACAGTGCATGTATTACATAACAATATTCTTCATTCTTCCTTATCAGGTGTCCAACTCTAATCAGAACTTCCAATCAGTCTAAGGTTTCTGCACTAAATTGGTCTAATTTCTGACAACATAAGGAAACTTGGTGTTTTAATTAGCCTGTGTAACCCCATCACAGTTTGATGTGCGGCCTCCATTAGGCTTTGGGGAAAATACTGAAAACAGTATGTGGACACCCCCTTGCCGCCTTCACAGACCCCAGGATGGGGCTTTATTACTCCAGCAGGCAAACCCCAACCACCTTCACAGCCCTGAGAACTTCCACAGTATCTCCCAGCAGATTGTAATCTCCCCACAGGCGAAATCCCGGACTTTCCTTGTTTGTCAAATTCCCCGCTAGCTGCCTGGCCTGCATTTTTTGCCTAGTGCTGGGGACTCCGCAAGGACATTTAATAAATACTTGTTGATTCCATCTCACTTTAACTGTTTCTCAACTAACTCCACCCTAGCCTGACTATGATGAATGCGGTGGTAGTGCCACCTATAGGTCTATCTCACCTTGGATTTATTTCACAGGAGTACTTCCCGAATGAGTTTACCTCTGGAGATGGGAAGAAAGGTATGTTCCATGAATTTCCATGGTGGCTGCAGTTGAGGAGTGGGCCTCACTGTCTCCTTCTTGTCTGCCTCCTCGGCTCCCTTGCCCACAGTGTGGGAGCCTGTTTCTGTGCCAGGTATGGGTAGGCAGTCCTGGGCTTGTGACCACCTCATTCCCTGGATGGAGATCAAAGGGGATTGGATTGAACTCCATCCCTCCCTCAGGACTGGTGTGAAGAGAGTCCGAGAAGATGTGGTAGAGTTCTTTGTGAGCTCCCTGAGAGAAGGGATGCTTCATCCACCCTATAGACCCCCTTCCTCCTTTTCTCTGTGCTTGTCCATCCCCACCCTGAGCTGTACAGATGCCCAGATCACTGCCCAGATCCTGGACTGTCTTAGGATCCTAGAATCCACAGCTTGTTTTGATCTGAGGTCAAGTACCACCTTACCTCTGCTAGGAAACCCCCTCATCCTGCTCCCATCAGTCTGGCCAGGAATGTGGGAGGGAGGGGCTGCTCCCCTCACTGAAGAGGAGTCTGTGTGCTAGCCTTGTCCCCTGGGAAGCCAGAGGGGGCTGAGTGGGTTTGTTTCCCAGAAAAGTACTTCCTGAAAGGGTCCCAGATCACCCCACTTGAGGCCCGAGACTTCCAGGGTCTCCAATCCCAATTATCTCCCTGCAGACAGGTGTAGAAGAGGCAGGGAAATGAAGTCCACTGGGCGCCTGCTATGTCTTGGCTCCTGCTAGGCCCTGCACTACCCCCACCTGCTCCTTACAGGCCTGCAGGGAGGCTGTTAGCCCCACTTTACTGGGGGCCAAGGAAGGGAGCGAGGGTACAGGTGACAGCTGGCAAGGCAAGTGAAGGCAGAGCCTCCAGCTCACTGTGTGGGGCCACCACAGGAAGTGGGTCACACAGGAAGCCCTACAGAGCTGTATGACTCCCTTGGGCTGTGGATGGCTGATGTTGGGAGCAAAGGGCCAACACCTCTACAGTGGGACCTTTGGAAACGTCCTTGGAGGCAGAGGTGAGGGCTGTGAGGGTGACTTTTGCAGCAACTGGCCGGGCCTTCAGGGCTGAGGAGGGAGGCAGGGCCTCCAGGCCTCAGCATTTGGCAGACGCTGGGGAGGGTGGTGTGGACCCTTTGTCCTGGATGTCCCTCAATGTGCCTGCCCCTCTGCAAAGTCCACTGTATGCCTGCAAAGTGCACGGTGTCTTCCTTTTCTCCTTCAAAGCTCACAAGGACTTCGGCTACTTTTATGGCTCAAGCTACGTGGCAGCCCCAGACAGCAGCCGCACTCCCGGGCTCTCCCGAGACCAGGACGGGTTGCTGGTTGCTGAGCTCAACCTCAACCTCTGCCGGCAGGTGAATGATGTCTGGAACTTCAAGGTGGGTCCCTGAGTCCCCTGCTGTTGCTCTCCTCCTCCACTTGGGTCCCATCCTCATCTCAGGACTGAGAACCACAGCTGCTGGGTTTGCCCGAGGGGACAGCCCGCATGAGGCTCAGCATTGAGCAGAGGGCTGGGTCCCTGCCTCCTTGCAGGTCCCATCCTGCCCAGCCAGGGCTGGTGCACAGGGGAGGAACCACTGGGTAAAATGATGCCCAGGCAGCAGACCTCCATAAATTCTCCTCTCATCTGATTGAGATTCTGGGTGCCTTCAAACAAATTAATCTCAATTTAATTTGTCCAGAGAATAGAATAGATTAGCTTCTCTGATCCTTTTTTCCTTTCCAGGCATTTGCACTTATTACAAGATAAATGTGTGTATCTGTCTCTGCCTGTGGCCAGGCCCCACAGGCCACAGAGGGAAATGGGTCATGCAGATAAATGGGCTCTAGGCCTGGCTTTGCACATCCTTGCTCAGCCAACTTAAGCAAGCCCCTTCTGCTCCCGGGCCTTAGCGCTTCCATTTGTAAAACGAGAGACTTAACTTGAATGTCCCAAGCAGTTTTTGAGACCCAATACCTCTGACACCAGGAATCAATCACGAGAGGACTGTGAGTGCCGATCATCCTGGAATGGGGCAGTGGCAACCATAGACTCGGACCCCATATAATATGGCATCTCACTATGGACACACACACAGATTGCTGCATTAGCGCCATGCAGTATTTTCACCAACTCAGCACCCATTTATAAGCGAATCATACATGCAAATGAAATGTCACATCATCATCACTGAAGGACTTTGCCCAGCGTGTCTGGGAGGAACCAAGGCTTTGGATCCAGCCAGACAAGGAGCTCTAGGCCCGGCTCCCTGTTTACCTGAGCATGGATCCCTGGGCATTTTCCTTGAGTCTCAGATCCTCATCATACAAACAAGGCATTGCTCACGGGAAAGTGTCCTGGCCTGTCTCCTCTTCCTGGGAAGTTCAGATTAATGGAGGAATCTATGCAAATTAGAATGTTTTCTCATTAGTAACTTTTTGAAAGCAGAAAACTTCCCAAGCTGTGGTGATGGGCATGAGCTCCTATCGAGGCTTTGGAAGGAAGGAAGGAGGGAGGGAAGGGAGGAAATTCTGGTGTGTGAGCACTCTGGGTAGGCTTTCCAGTTCGCCCCCACCCTCTCCCAGCCTTCATCCGTGTCCTTGATGAGGTGCTATGTGGAGTGGATGGACCTTCAGACCTAGAGCCAGGAGACCATGGTGCAAATCCCAGACGACTCCACTCCTAGCTGGTGATCTGGGCTGTAGGCTGCTCCTATCGGTTCTGCGGAACCACGGGTCGGTCCTTTCTGCCTCAGGGCAGGCCACACCTTCTGGATGAACAGACCACAGAGTTCTTCCAGCAGAAGTCTGGGTGTGTGAGTCATGCTGGCATCCATGATCTTCATCACCGTCCAAGAATCAGTGCTGAGAAGTCACGCTGGTTGTCTCTCTTTGTATTACAGTCTAAAATTGTCCTTCAGACCAGCCTTCCTGACGCATTTCTGTCCCCTGGCTGCCCTCTAGTGGCAGGAGGTGGTGGCAAGTAAATGAGGGCCATTTAGAAACCAGGAACCTCTAAAGTACACCTGTTTTGCTTTCAGATGACAGGCAGATATGACATGTATGCACGGGAGCTTGCGGAAGCTGTCAAACCCAACTACAGCCCCAATATCGTGAAGGAATAGCTGGCCTTCAGCCCCTGCCCACCATGAAGGGCACCTCTGCAGGTGTGACAGGCTTTACACGTCCAAGATCTCCTTAATGATGTCTGATAATGTTGCTGTCCAGGCTGACTTTTAAACTTCCAGATGCTGAGAGTAGAATGAGGAGTGACTACTTAATGGGTACAAGGTTTCTTCCTGAGGTGATAAAAATGTTTTTGGACTAGATAGAGGTGATGGTTACACAAATTGTGAATGTACTAAATGCCACTGAATTGTATACTTTAAAATGGCGAATTTTATGTTATGTGACTTTTACCTCCATTTAAAAATATCCCAGGCACTGTTTGTGCAGGTTGATTTGAAGTTAGATGAGATGCCCCAGTCCTGAGGTTCCTCACTTTTGCATTTAGACTGTCAGCAACTAAAGGGTAAGCATGGGAGAGTGTGTGCTAGTGGGAGAGAGTGAGACTGACCCAGAGTTACTGGATGGCCGTGGGCAGGTGGAAGGTCGTTGGATGTGTCAACTGGGTTAGACTGTAGTTTCCAGTTATTTAATCAGACACAATCTGAGTGTTGCTATGAAGGTAATTTGTAGAAGTGATTAAAGTCTATAACCAGTTAACTAAGCAAGTGAGATTATCCTAGATAATCCTGGTGGGCCTGATTCAATCAGTCAAAAGGCCCTAGAAGCAGAGCTGAGGCTTCTCCAACAAGAAAATCCTGCCTGTGGATAGCAGCTTCAGCCCATGCCTGAGAGTTCCAGCATTTGCCCTTCCTGGTGGCCTGCTCTACAGATTTCAGACTTGTCTATCCAGTCCTCATAATCATTTAAGTCAATTCCTTGCAATAAATCTCTTAATATATATTCTACTGTTTCTGCTTCTCTGGTTGGACCCTGACTGATACAGATTCAGTATTGGAAGTGGTACCAGAACTAATAAATGAGTTCTGCAAAGCAGCAGGATACAAAGTCAACACACAAAAATCAGTTGCATTTCTATATGCTAACAATAAACAATCCAAAAAGGAAATTAAGAAAACAATTTCATTTACAGTAGCATCAAAGTGAATAAAATACTTAGAAATTAACCAAGGAAGTAAAAGACGTGTACAATGACAACTATAAAACATTTCTGAAAAAAATTAAAGTAAGATATAAATAAATGGAAAGACAACCTGTGTTCATGGATTGGAAGACTTAATATTGCTAAGATGTCAAAATTGCCCTAGCCAGTTTTGCTCAGTGGTTAGAGCGTCAGCCTGTAGACTGGAGGGTCCTGGGTTCGATTCCAGCCAAGGGAATATACCTTGGTTGCAGCTCCCCACCCACCCCCACAGTTGGCGCAAGACAGGGAGGCGGCCAATCAGTGTGTCTCTCTCACAATGATGTTTCTCTCTCTTTCTCTCCCACTCTTTCTGAAAAGCAATGGAAAAAATAGCCTTGGCTATAGATAAAGAAATTAATTAATTAATACTTTTAAAAATATGTCCATATTGCCCTAAGCAATTTACAGATTCAATGCAATCCCTATCATAATCCCTATGATGTTTTTTACAGAAATAGAAAAATCCATCGTAAAATTCATATGGCATCTCAAGGGATCCCAAATAGCAAAAACGATGTTGAACAAGAATGAAGTTGGGGGCCCAGCTGGCCTGGCTCAGCAGTTGAGCATCAACTTAGGATCCAGGAGATTGAGGTTCAATTCCTGGTCAGGGCACATGCCTGGGTTGCAGACTTGGCCCCTAGTGTGGGGTGTGCAGGAGGCAGCCAATCAATGACTCTCTCATCACTGATGTTTCTATCTCTCTCTTCCTCTCCCTTCCTCACTCTGCAATCAATAAAGGTATATTTAAAAAAAAAAAAAAAATGAAGTTGGGGGACTCATACCTCCTTATTTCAAAACTTAATACAAAGCTATGGTGATAAAAACTGTGGTACTGGCATATAGACAGACACACATATACCAATGGGATGGAATAGAGATGCCATTCAATAGGGAAAGGACAGTCTTTTCAGCAGTGGTGCTGGGAAAGCTGGATATCGATGTACAAAAGAATGAAGTTGGACCCTTACCTTACTTCATATACAGATATTAGCCTAAAATGGATCAATGGCCCTAACATAAGAGCTAAAACTATAAAACTCTTAGAGGAAAAATATAGTGGGAAATCTTCATGACAATGGGTTTGGCAGTGATTTCTTGGATATGATACCAAAAGCACCAGCCACAAAAGAAAAAATAGGTGAGTTAGACTTCATCAAAATTTAAAACTTTTGTGCATCAAAGCATACTATCAACAGAGTAAAAGGAAAACCAACAGGATGGAAGAAAATAAAACTCCTAAAATCCAATAACTAAAAAACAACCTATTAAAAAATGGGTAAAGGACTTAAGTAGATATTTCTCCAAATACATAAATATATATAAATGACCAATAGCACATGGAAAGATGCTTAACATCACTAATCATTAGAGAAATGCAAATTAAAACTACAATGAGATGCCATCTCACACTCATTAGTATGGCTATTATTTTAAAAATCGTTTTTATACTATTTTTACCAGCTGTGTGTTTGACATGTAGATGGGCTTTTATTTATTTCATTATCCCCTACATTAGACATTGTTATTCACTCATTCACTTATTCATTCATCCATTCATTGCTATTACAAATGATGCTGGGATAAACATTTTAATGGCTAAATTGTCTTATTTTTGTTGTTTTCTTTAGGACAGGTTTCAAGAAGTGGTATTCACTGTTAAAAAACATGAACATTTATTAAGAACTGGGGAGAGTCTGCGATCCTATCCTATTTGCAAGCAGACAAGTTAGCCAACCTCAGTTTTATGAATGCTGACGGGGGAAAAGACAATCCTGGGTCAGAGATAGGATAGTTTATTACAGTAGTAGCAGCAACCAGAGTACCAGCATTTTCTTGCAGCAATTCCCAAGCCACAATTTCCATAGGGCGAAGCAAAGAAGGCCAAGTGACTCCCGTACGCGCAGTGGATCGCATTAAGAGGAAGAGAAAAAGAGAGAAAGCTTAGAGAATTTGAATCTTTTATACTGGACAGTTAGTATGCCTGCCTTTTGCTCTAAAGGTAGACACTATCTCTAACCACCAGGGTTGCAAGAACAACCTGCTCCAGAGGGAGACTTATCTCTGTCTTCCAAGTCAGCTCCATACACATCTTGAAAAGATAGTCCAGAACAAAGACATTTATAGTTTTAGCTCACAAGTCACCCAGAAATTTGATAAATGTAAGAGACTCACAACAATAACTTCCAACAATATCCACCCCTCATTTCTGCACCATCTTGGCTTCTGGCAACTTTCCCATGAGTATACCACTCCACCAGTCACTGTGATTAATCTGACCAGCAGAGCCTGGACCAAATCAGTTCAGTTTGCCTCACGGCATTTAATTAATTCCATCCACAGCACTTCAAAGAGCAGAATGAGCCCAACCTGCAGTATTAACCTCAATCCTGCCCCTCAGGATTTTCGACCCAACAGGCTGGACAAATCCCATAAACCATCAAGGTCTATCTTTCTCAAATATTGACCTTTCCACTTGGCCTAGGTCATTAATCCAGGAACAAAAGCATATATTAGAATTGTCCATCTCTACTTTGGCCCACAAGGAGGAAGTCTAGGTCAATCTATCATCTATACCAACCCTGGCAGTGAGTTGACACTGGCCTGAATGCCTTCCAGGGCCAAGGTGGTACCATTGATCACTTCAACTAAAGTCAGGGATAAATGGCACATCACCTTTTCTAATCAGATGACTACCATCTCAGGGATAACTGCCCACAGAGTGCACATAAATAACAAGTCATTATGGGTCCAGGAAGCTCCCCTAAGTTTAGTCTCATTTTAGTGAGATCTCCACAGTTGTCTATGGGCTACCTAATCTATTGGTGGTGTTTACTTACCAGACGTGGGGAATACACTGGCCAGCGAAATTATTTGTTCTGGCCCTGCCAAGGCAACCACAGGCAGGACTCAAAATTCAATAAATCTAGGAGCTTTTTTCATAGCTAATTTTTAAGTTGATAATTTTGTATGGCCCACGAATGATGTTATAAATATCCAAATGGCCCTGGCCCGTTTGACTCAGTGGTTGGAGAATCAGCCCTCGGATGAAGGGTCTCGGGTTCAATTCTGGTCAAGGGCACATACCTCAGTTGCAGGCTCAATCCCTGCCCTGACCGGGGTGTGTGCCAGAAGCAACCATTCAATATGTCTCTCTCACACTGATCTTTCTCTCCCTCCCTTCCACTCTCTCTGAAAAAAGCAATGGAAAAATATCCTCGGGTGAGGATTTTTTAAAATTAAGTAAATAATAAATATCCAAATGGCCCTTGGCAGAAAAAGGGTTCCCCACCTCTGACACTTGAAGGTCTCTCATGACCAGCACGTAGATAGAAGACACTGTTTTGGGAGAGGTTAATGCCTGGCTTTCACACAAGTATAGTTATCAGGGGAAATGTAGTACCCCTAGAAAGAAAGTGTTTACCAGTGTTGGGGTACCCCAAGTGGGACCTACATCAATTGGAGCACAGTTTGATAGTACCTCCATCGTGGCCTCCTGGCCAGCTGGTAGGTGTTTGAGTTCCATTTGGTTTGAATAATTGAATCTAATTCTTGTATTTGGAAGGACTGCCCAAGGGCAGTCAGTCCAGTCTAACCTGTTGGCCCATACCACCAGCTGGGTGGCATTCGTCTTCCCCACAGGTGACTGAGTAAAGTCTATAAGAATGGGGGTTGAGAAGACATCTAGTGGGATGGCAGGTGTTTTTCCTAGAAGGCATAGGAGCCAGGGATATCCCCTGCATTCCAATAGACTTCAGGTAAGATTAATAGGAACAGTGATCACATTATGGTCAAAGCCATCTGGTCAGGAAGAAGGCAAATCCTGAAATCGGTTACATTTAAAGTGCTTCTAAAAGTTTGGGAGAGTTGCACCAGGGCATTTTTGTTCCTAAGAAAGGTTCCAGGGGAAATTATGAAACAAGATGATTAATGATGAATACTCCTCCCTCCCTATCTCCTGGGATCAAAGGTGTTTCGTACCTAAGGTGCCAAAGTTGCTGCTCCCTCTCCAAAATTGGCATAAATTCCAGTAGCTAAAACGTCAACTTTTTTATTTTTCCTGTTATCCCTTTCTCAAACCCAAACCTTTTTTTTTTTTTTTTGGAAGTGTCAGTTACAAGGGGAACAAGGGAATTTTTATAAAATGCACTGGGACCCATTATGTCCCCCACTTTGTCCCACCCAATGTACTCTCACTCAAGTGGTAATTGTCTTTATCATCTAAGACCGTGTCAGTCCAACACGAGAACTCAAGTGCCTGAACTAGAATCAAGTTTGAATTTCTAAGCCCTCTTTTGGCTGGGCTGTGGTCACCTAAAAGATACGCTAATCAGGCTGGCCTGGAGTTGCTCTTAGGGAAGAGAAAGCAGCAACATGCCCAGGAATAGTCAAGTCTGAATCCCCAAATTTCAAAATAGGTCCTTATGACCTTCTTACCACTTTCATCCAGATGAACCTAGGAAATGACCTTTCTAGAGACAGCTGCACTCAGTGACCAAACTACAAAAGTGCGTGGACCAGGACGGGGAGGGAGGGAGGTAGTCAGTAGCCTTTTGGGGTTGATTTTTGAGGAGGCCTTCCTGCTGAGATATTTCAGACACCTGTGGACGGAAGGGGCCGTGGAGGATACGTTAAATACCTTGACTGCCCGCCGATTATCAAGGAGCTTTTGTGGTCAAAGGTGCCCCCTCATCAGATAGCAAATGGCCCAGAAAGCCAAAGACAACACACAGATTAGTGTCAAGGGCCACAATGATGTGCCTCGAGTTGGCCAATTGGACTGGAATAGCAACTCCATAACCTGAAAATGTGTCAACAGTGGTGAAGCACTGCCCATAGCCCCAAGCGGGTGTCAGAAATACGATGGAATTAATTTGCCATGAGCAGGTGGGCATGTGCCCTGTGCAAGGTGACTCCTTCTCTGCAAGAGGCCAGCCCTTGGCAGGAACCGCAAGTCTGGCATGCGGCAGTGGCTTCTGCATCAGGAACAGTTTTTCCTTTGTGCTCGGTCCACAATGGGGATGTGTCCCCAGGCCCAGCACAATAATCCAGGTAGCAATCTGGGTGGGGCAGGTGGGGCAGTCAACAGCTTTATTCTACTTGGGCCCATTGGAGAAGTCTCTTAAGGGCACCTAACATGAGTCAATCAGACAGGTCAATCACAGCCGCAATATATTTCCATAGCCCATAGCCCCAAAGAGGGATGTCTTTCATCGCTGCTTTGAGATTTTCTAAAGGGCAAACCAAACAACTTAGGCCATTGGCAACAGCCCAGAGTCAGTGAAAACATTCCAAGGTTTACCAAGTAGGGTACTGGCCCGGTGCCGAGAGGCTGGTCTTGAGCTCCGCCTACTGAGTAGAGAGACTCACATCTAGTTTCAGTTCTGGGCAGTGCTGCTGAGGGAGAACCACACAGCTGCCCAGGGAATCCCATGAGCTTTCCACTTAGTTGGCCCACTGGTGAAACAGGCCCAGGTATTTCGGGGAAGTTGGGGTCACTGTTGAGCCAGTGGCTTTGCTTTGGTGGAGTTGGAACGTTTCCCCAAAAGGATTAGCTGCCGTTTTTTGTTTTCATGTAAAGCTGAGGTGTTGCCTGAGCTGGGCCAGCTGTTCTCCAATGTACCATTTTCATTGCACAAGCAAGGCTTTCACAGGTTAGGTGTTCAGTTTCAACAAGAGCCCATTATTAAGCTTTTCAAAAGGGGTGTACCTGGTGACTGTCAGGGGGACAGTACACCCAAAACTCCAAGGGGCGCCTCAGGGTGCAATCTGCTTCCCTTTGCCAGAGGCTCCAATTAGCACAGTCATCAGTCACAGAGACATATATGGCTTAAAAGGGTCACTGGATTATGGGTCCCCAAAGGTAAAGAGTGGGTCACAGCTTGCTGGGCAGCGTCCAATGCAGTCTGTTGGTTTGGGTCCTGTTCAAAGGGTCTGCAGGTTATAAAAGGACCAAGTAGGATGCCCAAGTGAGGCTATACTGTCTCCAATACCCAAAGATTACAAGAGGGTGCCAGGCCTCCTTTTTGGGGAGTGGTGGATGGATAAAGAGGAAGTAGCAGATTTCCTTGACTGCTGGAGAGATTACACATTATGAATCTGGCCACATAGTCCCAAGTCCCTGAATTTGGTCAGGGTTTATCAGTCACCCTGCTACTAGAGGGGTGAAACACCATCAGGATCTCTGAGACTGAGGCTTTTGACCTGCCACCAACATGACATCACCTATGTAGTGAAAGTTTTGGACATTGGAGGGTAAAAGGGCACATGCTAAATCCTAATCTACCCATTGGTGGCAAATGGCAGGGGAGTTTATCCCACTAGCACTAAGAGATGATGTGTATGTAGGTCTTCCTGATCTCTGGCACTTACAAGCTGGAAGGACAAGTATCAATTTCTATGACACTTTCAGATGTAGACGCAACAATACATTGAATGGGACCAAAGGGCCCTGGGTACTTAGCCTTTTCTCTCCCGCTGGGAAACTTGCCCAAACCCCATCAGTTGAATTTTGAACACCCCCCCCCCGCTCCCTGGAATGCACAGGATTGAGATGTGGGAACGCATATCCAGCAGAGCCATAAAAGTCTGAGTCCCTCTCATCCCTACCGTTCCCCCATAATACTCAGGTGAATATGGCATTTGGTTCCCCTTGATCTCTGGCCTCATTTTCCCTTCAAGCAGCTGAGGCTGGGGTGGAGAGGGAGTGAGGGATCAGGGCTTGTGGAAGGAGAAAGTGGCTCCCTGCTGATTAAACATCCCTTCAGTTTTGGTGGTGTGGCAGCCCTTCCTAAATTTTCAGCCCAGCCCCAGCCCTGGGGCAGGTCTGAAGATGCCAGATAATACCAGATTTCCAAACACTTCCATTTTTAGAAGTAGAATTCTTATCAAATGAAAGACTAGAAGGACTCAACGGTTAACAAATGAGGGGAGCTGCTGCTTGAGGCAGGAATATACGCAGGGCTAGTCCCTCCTACTCCCTCCTGGGGGCCCTACTGCCCTTCACTTGACATTCCCCACCCTGCCCTCCTCCAGTCCAAGGCTTTACATCCTCCGTGCCCTCTTCAAGAATCTCAGGCTGAGATCTGCAGCCCTTCCACCTCCAGCATTGCCTGCCTAGGCCTTCCACAAGCATCAGGGGGATGCAGGCCCAAAAAGCAAAAAACTGGATCCGTTCCCAGCTAAAACCCGGTACGGCAAATTAAGGACTTGGGCTCCCATGTGATTGTGCTGAGGAGACAAGAATTCACGAAGGTGGGCCAGGGGCTTCCATCATTTTGCAGTGAGAATAACGTTTATTGAGAATGGCTCATTACAAACAAAATATATTTACGTATAAAATCTCTGCAATGCAAAAGATCCCTTTGTCCCCGTGTGGCTGGAGTGAACAAAGCCAACTGTCCACTGTGGATTTGGGGGCTGTGCTGGACCCCCAGCTTGTGGAAAGGGGGTCGTGGGTGCCATGTGTGTAGGCAGAAGTTCCTGATGAGGCTTTTTCTCCAGCCCCATTTCCATGATTTCTCATTGCACAATAGAGCATGATTTGCATCCTGCCTCCGTGACCCTCCCCAGTAAGACATCACCATCCCAGGGCAGGCAGCTTTCTTGTCAATCTTCCAGACAGGTGACTTCTAACATGGCTAGCCCTGAGAAGCCATCCTCCAAGCCCAGGGACTGAGCGTTTTTTTAAATGTCGCATGATAGACTGAGGAGCTGTGACCACTCTCCTGGAGGCTGCTTTCCATGACAGCCCCACAGGCATGTGCACCGTGCCTCACTCACACTCAGCCATTCTGAAAGCTTCACTTCCTGTTTTCCTTGGTACATCTATCTTCACCACAATTTTACTCAGACCCCTCCTGAGGACACCCAAAGCCCACAGCTGTCACATGTGGTACTCCTGGGCATGGAGCCAGAGCTCCCTGGGATCCTGGACCACGCAGCATTAAGGCAACAGAGATGAGACAAGTCTGAAGACAACACTAGTCTTACACTCAGGGTGGCTGCCCAGCTACAGCGCCTCTCTCTCTGCCAAGGCTATGGCTGGTATTGAGCAATACCGCTGGGTGAGGTCTGAGAGCCCTGATATGCAGAGCCCACCTCTGCCCCTAAGAGCAGCCTTCGTGGGGAGGGGACAGCTGGTGGGTGGGGACAGATGCTGAGCATGGTTTGCAGTTCGGGGGAAGGGCAGCAGCTGCCATCGCATCATGCCTTGGGCACTGGAAGACAAAGACGCAGGGGTGCAGGAGTAGTGGGGCTGTTGGGGCACCCCTGCCGCTTTGCCAGAGGCAGCCCATGAAGGGTGAGTGCATGTTCCCAGCCCCTTTGGGAATGATCCACTTCCCTTATTTTTTAGGTGCAGACCTGGGTTCAAGACCCAGCTCTACCAGTCAGTCTCCTGGGCAAACTCTCCCCAGATTGGGCCAGATTCTGTCTGCAAGGTGAAGGGCTCTGGCACTCAGCTCGCCAGCTGGGAGTCGTCTTCTCTGTGAGAACCTGAACTGGCTCATCTGCCTAGTGAAGAGAGGTGTCAGTGGTTCCAAAGTACCTGCAATCTCACTATTATTATCTTGAGGGTGATTCTCACCCCCAAAAGTGAAAATTTAAATTTCAAATAAACCACCCCTGCCCCTAAAAAAAGAAAAGAAAAGAAGGCAATAGTTCTAGTCCATGCTCCATGCTGTGCTGTGTGACCCTGGGCAGACACCACCTTCTCTATCAAGACAGAAGAGACCCAATATTCTGTGTAAAAGGTCGTGGCATGAACACCGGGTGGGTGGGAGGCCACAGCCTGCCCCCCCAACCATTGCTTGAGGAGCACAAGCCCTAGTGCCCCAGCACCCAGTCCTGTAAGACTTAGGGTGACCTGTACTCAGAGGATGGCCCCACTGTTGGGACTTAGGCTAGTGTTAGCAGGCCTCCTGGTTGAGGGGGAGGATCTTTGGGGCCCAGGCAGCTGTCCCTGGCCCTCTGGGTCAGGCTTTCCTGAGTACACTTGGCACTGTGGGCCAATAAGAACCAGGGTCCTGTCTAAACCCTATAGAGCTGCAGTGCCTGGAGTGCTGCAGGGGCCTCAAAATCCTTTCTGCCTAAGGTCCAGCCCTCCCCAGGGGCCACAGGCCTTGCAACCAGCCATGGGAACTTGAGGGCTCTGCAGCACTCCTAGGGAGAAAGGTGAGGACAGCTCCCAGCAAGGCTAAACACACAGATGCTGTCCTGACGGGCAACATCTCTCTACAGGATTCAGTCCCCAGGTCTGTGGGGAGACGACCTCAGGCCTCTCCCCTGGCCTTGGGTCTGGCTTGCGGGCAATAAGGGCACCCTCAGGGCTGGATATCCCCTGGGCACAGTTGGGGGAAGCTCTGCTTGGAAGATCTGGGGATGTCTCCAGCAACCAGCAGGTGTAGGGGGTACGTGGCATGATGACACTCACCACTGGTGGATGAATCAGGTGTGCTGCAGCCTCCCAGAGTTCCCTGGGGTTTTGTCACATGGCCTGAGGCCGAAGCTCTGCATCCGAGCCCCAGCAGCCCTGCGCCTGGGCCAGGGCCTCCTGAGTGGGCCCAGCTAGGGCCGGGCAGGGTGGGGTCTGAGGGCCTGGGCACACCAAGCTCCTGCTGTCAGCTATCCAAGTAGACAAAGAGGATATCCTCGTCTGTGCCGTAGCTGGTCCTGGCCTCCTCAAAGTTACTGATGCTGGTGCTGCACATTCCTGCTGGGGGCAGGAGAGGCAGAGCAGGGTCAGTGGGTGGGGGGACATCTGCCTCACTGGCACCCAGGGAAGCTAGGGAAAGTCTGAAATGTAACACCTACCTAGTCACCCCTTGCCACACAAGTCTTCCACCCCAGAAGCCCTCCTTGCCTACTGTGGCCTTCGTGAGCTTCTTCCTGACCTCTCCCCAGTTTAGCAGATGAAGAAAGCGAGGCCCAGAGAGGGGAAGAAACATGCCCAAGGCCACATGGGATAAGTCTCTGAGTTAGGGCAATGCTTCCTTGTCCAAAAGGCAGTGGGGAGCCCTGGATGGGTCTACTGGGGTTGGCAGACTTTCTGAGTGTGCTGACCATCCTGTGGGGGCTGAAGTTGGAGGGGGGGGAGGAAATTGCAGTCTATACAGCATGAGACAGTACAGCAGGGTTCTGGGCAGTAGTGTGGTAGTGGCAGTGTGGGAGGGACAGATGGCCAGGCCTAGTGATGACCGGAGTGCGGAGGAGGTCAGCACAGCCCCAGGTCTGTGGCTGGTTTGCTGCATGGCCAGAGGGATGGCACAGATGACAGGGGCCCAGAAGTAACAAGGGCTTTGAGGAGAAGGCGGTGATGGAGGTCTTGGCCCCACCAAGTTAAATGGAAAGGAGTTGGAGGGTCCAGGTATATGGGACCGTGAGTGCAGAGGCCCTGCCCACTGTCCCCACCCACCACACTCACGGTCGGCATAGGCTGGATTGTTGTAGAAGATGGAGCCAGTGGCCCGGTTGTAACCACGCAACACGATGAAGTGGCCCTGGTAGTCGGGGGTGCGGCAGAAGCAGCGGTGGCCACGGGGGGCAAAGCAGCAGTACTTGGCGGGGCTGGAGCAGAGGTCGCAGTGCAGCACCCCCGAGTTCACCAATACAATGGCCACGTTGCCCTGTGCCAGGTGTGCCTGGATGTCCTGCACGCTGACCGTGCTGTGGGTGGAAGAAGCGTCAGCCAGTGCCACTGGGCCCCATTCCCCATCTCTCAAGTGGACCCCTGCTTGGACCCCCGTTTTGCCCTGTGTCACACAGCTTGGGGGCACAGCTCATTTCCCCTCTGCTCTGAGCCTTATAAGTGGGAATGTCCTGCTCTGTTACTGTGGCCCAGGCTCAGTCCAAAGGCAAGCACAGGACCAGTGGAGGGGCTCTGAGTGTGCCCGAGAACAAGCTGGCCCATCAGGCCTTTGGGGGTGGCAGGTCAGGTCCAAATGAACCCGTCAAGGGCTAGTGGATCCATACATGGGACCCTACCTCCTGGACTGGTAAGTGAATTATCTGAGTCAAATGCCTCCATTGGCCCTTTACCCTAAATCATATGTGCTTTAAGCTAGAAACTGTCAATCCAACTTAATTCCCCAATCTTGACCAAGCATGGCTTTGCCAATTTCAAAACCAAATAGTTCTCTGAAAGGGCTACTTTTCTTTTTTTCCTAAGGCTCCTTGTGGCAGAAGTGGCTGTCCAGGAAGGGCTGGTCAGCAGCACTTCCAGGAGAACCCCCAGGCCAGCAGGGCCAGCTGCCCCATGTGGTACCCCCCCCAAAAGGCAGCAGGGGATGCAGGAATGAGAAGGAGAGAAAAGGGCTGGGTGTGGGTCCCCTAGGCCAGGGGCTCCACCATCTTCACTGGCTCTCCTTCCTTACGAGGAATGGTGGACTAGCTCAACTCCAGCCCATGGCCAAGTCACATGGCAGTTTGTTTTGTTGCCTAAGCCCAGGGAAGCATGTCATTTTACCATTTGGTCTTTGAAACCTGGCTGAATTCCCAATGGTATGTATAAGAGTGGGATTTTAGCTACAGGAAAAAAGCAGCGGCTAGGCTGGAAGGAAACGCAGTGGGGTGCATGGGATAACTGTGTGTCAAAGTGTCACGTTTGGATCACAGCCTGGCCAAGTTGCTGGGGGGACTGTGGGCAGCTCACACTATTTCCCTATCCTCAGTTTCCTCATCTAAGGAATGTGAACAGCACCAACTTCCCACTCAGCAAGACAGCATGTGTCAAGTGCCACTAAGTAAACGTTTGCTGCTTTTCCTTCCAACATGTGCTCATGTAGTCTAATGATGCATGGAGACTTTTCCCATTCCAAATCACCTATAATGAAAACAGAAATCTGGAAAGAACAGGGAGACTGAGAAGAGTGGCTTAGGAGAGGCCGGCTGGGACCTGAGCCATAAGCCTGAGCGCAGTGCCCACAGTGAGCCTGGGGAAGAAAGTCACTCGCATCTGGGCAAGTTACTCCCAGGGTCTGCCTAAATCCTGCCCCCACATGTAGATAAGAAGGGGAGACCTATGTAAGGTCACAGAGATCATGGGAAGATCAGGGAGCCAGGCCTCCCTACACAGCCTACACAGTGGGCTGTCCCAGTTACCCTCCATCACCATGCCAGGATGTTCCTCAGGCCATCACCCCTTCAATCAGGTTACTGTCCCATGCCACCATTCTGTGAGTAGCCCAAGAACTGACTAGAGTCTGTCTTGCTCACCTTTACCTCCAGTCCCTGCTCAGGATCCACCCCAGACCAGAAGTTTGTGTATAGTAGACAAGGTAGCCTCACAGGTCCTCTTTTTATCCCCCAAGGCTCAGGGGTATAAATCAGTGCCCACAGCCACCCATGCAGGAAAACCCAGTTCTGTCTGACTCCCGAGATCCCAGCCTTTCTCCCACCCCATCCTGAGGCCTCTCCCATTGCAAGTCTTTGGGTGAGCAGGTGCACAAGATAGGGTGGGGGGAGGCTCACCATTTCTCCACCAGCACCTTGCAGGCCTTGGCTTGTGCGAATAGGTGGTTCACCCGAGTCTCCTCTGTGTCAAAGTGCTTCCTGTAGAAGGACTGAAGAGAAAATGACAGGCTGGAGGGGCTGCCCACCCTGGCTGCCCTCAATGCATTTGGACAAAGAACACATTATGGAGTCAGAGATGGCAGGATAGTGGAAGAGCCCGACCTGCAGGGGGAGGTGGTGCATGCAGCATGAGGGCAGAAAGCTGTCTGTCCTAAGGTGACAGGGGGCTTGCCAGAGTGCACAGGACCACAGAGAGGCATGAAGAAGATGCTCAGGAGATGAGTGGGCTCCCAGAGGAAGGTCAGTCACCCCTGAGCTTATGCTTCTGATGGGCATGAGCAGGAGTCTGAGTAAATGAGCAAGAGTGAATGCTCACCCACACTCGGCTTAGCCAAGAGAGGTCCACGGAACTTACTTTGTTTGGTACAAAGATTAAGGGGGCCAGAGCCCCCATGGAGGAGGCAGAAGTAACCCTGTTTTGGGGCTCCTTTTTCTGCCTTGCAGCCATGGTGACTAAATGAGATGCAAGAGCCTTCTTCCCCTGGCCCAGAAGGTTCAGGGGAGAGTTAGGTTAACTGGCCCTGGCCACCCTGCAACAACCCTCTTGCCAAAGAGGTCAGCAGCAACTCTGCTCTGCCAAGTTTTACAGCTTGGGCTGAGATCTGCCCCAGAGGCACGAAACATTGGCTCTAGCTGTACAGGAAGAGAAAACACACTAGTGTATAGTGCAGCTTATGTTGGCATTCTTTTTCAAAAAAAACAAAACAAAGATGATATTTTGGTTTTTATTCCAGATACCAATTACCCAGCGTGGAACTGGCTGTTCCCGTGAGAAAGAAGAAAGTGGGCAAATGATGGCTGGACGAAGTCAGAGTGGTGTGCTCTGAGGCCCTGGGCCCTCCCTTGTGCTGAGGGATAGTAGGGAAGGATGCAGGGAGGTGGCCTGAGACACTCCTATGCACATCCTCAAGTGCTGTTGAAGGCAAGTGTCAGGGGTCTCTGGGCAGGCGTGCTGGGAGGACTGCAGCTTGCTGCTCAGATCCTTTGCGTAGGTGGGCCTCAAGGTCACCTGTACTGATTGGCTCCAAGTCCTGCCCATAGCACTTCTGTCCCTGCTCCCTGGTCTCTGCCCACCTGTGCGCATACTCAGGCGTCCAGGCCTTGACTGCACACTCTTCCAACTACTGAGCCTAGTGAAGGTCTGGTGGCTGGCAACTCACCTGGTTTTTGTAGCCCTTGTCAACACCCAGGGTCTGGGTACAAAAGCGGTGCCTCACACCAAAGTGGCGCATCAGGTAGGCCAGGTCAATGGTCCAGATGCTCCTGGTCAGCCGCAGCTCCTGCAGGGCACTCTCAAACTCACCGTCGTCCAGCTGGCCCAGGTACCTGTGGGCAGACAGGCCATTGAGGTCAGCTTGCCCTCAAAGGGAAGCTAGTTTGGGTCACGCTCCACCTGTGGGCCCATTAGCCACTGTCAGAGCTCCCACTCCCCAGAAGTCTCCATCCTTTGTCATGAAACCTTATGTCCTGCCCACACACTGCTGGGGCACAACCTGAAGCTGCCTGGGCACCATGCTGTCCCTGGAGTCAAGGACCTTGATTCTGCTTCTCACATCTCTCATGGATTGTATGACTTTGGGCAAGTCACCACCCTCTCTGACCTCACTAGCTCCATCTCTAAGATGAGGTGCTTGGATCATATCAGTGTTTTCTAAGTTTTAGTCAGAGAATTCTTTTGTTGAACCCTATTGTGCCTGGAATTCCTGGATGTAAAATGGGTAAGGGAAAAGCCGCTCTGGGGTTCCAGGCAGCCGCCTGAAACTCCTCCTACCAGGTGATAAGGTGATGGCAATGGTCCCTCCAGGCTCTGATAGTCAAAGTTCCAATGATGTTCATACAGCCTCAACTCAGTGGTTAGCCCCCAGTGGCCCAGCCTCCCAGGAGCCTGAGTCTGGAAAGGTGGAAGTCCCTGTGTCCCAGTAATGGGGTCACCCTCTGGGCCAGGCCTAGGCACTGAGGACTTTTGCAAATGGCACTGAGCCTTGATGGAAGCTGGGCCTCCCACAAGGCCCGACCAAAGATGGCCACATGGATGATGAATCCCACCCAGGTCTCTCCCTGTGTCTCCCCCAAGGGCATGTGGCGTGGATGGTGAGGGCCTCGACCTGCCCACTCACCGCAGCACCATCCTGGAGCAGGCCAGGCCGCAGTCCCAGTGGTAGAGCTGCTGGATGATGGGCACGGGCAGCTGCACAAAGTCCCCTGCATGGAAACACAGGGAGGTAACAGAGCCCCGGCCCAGCGCCTGCCGCTGCCACCCCACTGGAACCGTCCTCGGCTCCTGCCCAGGTCCTGCAGCGGCTATTCAGGGGCTGGCCCGCAGCCTTTCAGGCCTCCCAATCCATCATCCTTACATAGCAGTGATCTCCCCAAAACACCAGTCAGGGCAGGTTAGCCCTACAGACTCGGCCGGTGGGCTGGTTTCCACGTCTCCGAGGACTCTGCCTTCACGGCTGCTGCCCCAGCACCCTCTGCCTCCTCACCTCCGCTTGTCCTCACCAGGCCGCCCTCCAAGCAGAACCTTCACCTGCCATGTGGCTCCTTGTACCCCAAGCCTTTGCACGCCTGCTCCCTCTGCCTGCACTCTCCCGGCCTTCCAGGTGCCTGAGCTAACGCCTACCTTTAACTTCTTTTTTAATCCTCACCCAGGGACGTGTTTGCTTGTTTTTATTTTAGAGAGAGAAAGAAACATTGAGAAACATCAATCCGTTGCTTCCCATACATGCCCTAACTGGGGATCGAACCCGTGACCTAGGTATGTGCCCTGACTAGAAATCGAACCTGCAACCTTCTGGGGTATGGGACAAAGCTCCAACCAGTTGACCCACCTGGCCAGAGCTAACTCCTACCTTTGAATGTCACTTCTTCATGACATTACCTCTCTGCCTAGACCTCCATGATGTGCACCTACAGCCCCACAGACCTCTCTCTGAGCCCTTTTTGCTGGGAGCTCAGAGAAGGCAATGACACGGCCGGCACACGAAAGGCACTGAGCAGATATTCATGTCTGAATTCACGTGGCCCCTGGAGGTTTGTCTGACTTCAAAGCCCCCAGGGCCACCAAGGTGTGAAGATCATGGTTAAGAGAAGGGGACTATCATGTAAAATCTGTGCATGTGGAATGCTACCCTGGGCGATCTCTCAGTATGTCCTTGCCAAGCGTGCGGCAGGGCAGAAAGGGCCCAACCTAGGTGTTCTAGCCCTGACTCAGCCACTGGCTGGCTATGGGCTGAGCAACTGACTTCCTCTTGCTGGACTGAGTCTGGCCACCTCTAAAGTGGGGGACTTTGATCTGACTCAATCAACAAGTATTTCCCAAGGGCCTAGCAAGTGTCTGGCATGTTTACTAGAGATACAGCAGTTAGTGACAAGTCCCTGTCCCAGTAGACAGCAAAAACAAGCAAGAGTAAGAGAAAAACACGGGGCTAGGCTAGGGAAAATGGTGAGGGTATGCCCTGGAGGGCAGAGAGATAGGAAGCACAAGGCAGAGAGGGAACAGAATGTGTTGAGGCCCTGAGGTGGGGGCGAGCTGGCACCAGTCTATGGAACACTCCCATTCTGGCATTCCATGAATCTGGACAAAGTTCAGAGTCTAAAGAACCAGGAGATACTTCCCTTCAGTAGTCACCACCACTCTGCTCATTCATGACACCTGTTCAGCACATGAAAGCTCAGCCCACATTGTTTCCTCACCTCAGGGGTCTCTCCTAAACTCAAGACCAACCTGTGCAGAGCTGCCCCAGGAGCCTGTCTGCCATGCTAGCCCTGGCTCCCATGGCATGCACCAATCAGGAGGGCTATTCATTAGCTCTGGAGTACCTCCTTCTGACCTGCCAGTTTTATCTGGGCAGTCCCTTGCCTGGAGTGGGTGCCAAGCTCCTACTCTATGTCTAAATGCTCCCCAGCACAGATGCTATCACTCCTGGGGCCTTCCCTGAGGCCAGGCTGGCCACGCCCTATCCTTTATCTATACTCCCACCAGGCCCCAGTTCACACTGTGCCTCATAGAGGGGAACCTTGCATGGTGCTTGTCTGAGCCCTTCTGGGCTATGGTACATTCCCAGGAGGCAGGGACATGTGACTGCTCCTTTGCTGCATTGTACTGGTCTCTCTCCCCCCACCCCTCCCTTCCAAGGGTGTGCAGCAGTGTAGAAGGCAGAATGGCTTGAGAAAATGCAGGCCACCTGCTGGCTGAGTCACCCGAGAGGCACCAGACCTCTCTGTGCCTGCTTCCTCCCCTATGAAATGGACCAACACAGGTGCCAGCCTGCAAAGTGCAGTGAGCACTCAGGGCAAGAATGTATATAAAGCCCTTTTCAGGTGCTGATGTGAACTCTGCTGGTTGGGACCTGGCACACTGAACTCAGGGAGAGCTGAGGCTTTGTTCCCTCCTTCCCCTAACCCCAAGTACCTTTGGCCCTCATTCAAGGCCTTCACACGTTCACCTTCTCCTACTGCCATCAATTCAGTCCTGAGGGCTTAGTCCTGCCTGTCCTCTGCCCTAAATTCCACCCCATAGCTCCTTTCCCATCTTTATATACAAAAGCCAATGGGATCCCATCCATAGCTTCCCATTGCTCTTCTCACCCCTTACCATGGCCTCTAGGGCCTTGCCCAGCCTGAGCCCCACCAGCCTCACCTTGGCCCTTACCCCTTACTCACCATGTTCCTGTTTCCTTGGAAACCCATCAGGCTTCATTTCACCCCAGGACCTTTGCATAAGTAGCTCTTTGTCTTGAACTCTCTTTCCCTTGCTGTTCTTAAGACTGCCCCTTACTGTCATTCAGGTCCCAGTTCAAAGTCTCCTCTGAGAGGCTTTTTCGGACTATGCCTTTGGGGGAAGGGAGCCCTCCTTCACAGCATCCTGGTTCCATTCACAGTACTTAGCAAAAGTAACAAAATAATAATAATAAAGCTACTCTGTCTCCACTAGACTATAAGCTTCCTGAGGGAGAGAATTTGCTAATCTTTTTCACTGTTATTCCCAGTGCCTAGTGTTTGATACTTAGTAGTAACTCAATAAACATTTGTTGGAAGAAATGAATTTATTAAGCACCCACTGTGTGTGTTAGGCTCTGGGACTAAACCTAGTGACTAAGACCCAAGCCCTGTCCTCCAAGGATTCATATCTAAAATAATTCCCAGCCCTGGGCTGAGTGGAGGGAGAGCTCTATACAGGGTGTTGCCCCCTCATGGTGGTGTGCCTCCTTTGTCAAGAACCCCTCACTGTGACCATAAACTGCCTTTTTGTTTTATTTTTACAAAGGTGTTTACTTCCCAGACTTTGCTCCTGTACAGGGTGTACCAAAAGAATGTATACACATTTTACAGCTGATAGCTCAATTGATGTTTCTTTCTTTTCAGACTTAACCCATTGGAATTGCAATTATTCAAAGTGTGTATACATTTTCTTGGGACACCCTGTATATCCCTTAGTCTGGAATGCTGTCTCCAATCTCTAAATGTCCAAATGCTCCGGTCCCTTTCCCTCTCCAAGCTCCTCAATATGAATTATTTGAGGTTGTGTCTGCCTTCTCCACTAGACAGATGAAGAATTCCTCACTGGCAGGTGGGGGCAAGGTGGCATTTACTTCCTCCTAGCCCTCAGCCCAGAGCAGGCACTCAGACATGCTTGGTGAATGAAAGGTGTTTTTCTCCAAAGGCCTTAGCCCTTGAGATGCCCCGGGCCTACCTGTCACTGCAATGCCCAGCACCCCCACCCCCAGGCTTCCAGACTATAGCCCTTGTGCAGACTATAGCTGACTAGCTGGGCCACCTTAGGCTGGGCTTTGGGTCTGTGCTTTCCCCTATACCCAGCTGTAAATATGGAACAGGACAGCTGCTCTGAACTCTGCTGTCCCTCCTCTTCTTACCCTGATCTTTGGAGCCCCTTGATCCCAAAGCCCCCAAAAGCTACATGTCCCCACATGGCTGTCCACAGCCTTGCCACTAGCAAGTCTGCCCATAGGGACCCAGAGATACTCCTGTGGGGAATGATAAGGGTAGGCGAGGCCTTCCAAGCCCAAGGCTGCTGCTAAATGTTGATGCCTGGAGCAGAAAGACTGTCCCATCTTAGAGCTAGGGTCTGCCTAGAAGGCCCTTGGCTGGCTTCAGTTGGCAGCTGTCACCAAGGAAGGAAAGCAGCTCACTGGCCCTGAATACTTAATGCCTTTCGGCCTCAGTCAGCTCATCTGTAAAAGTGAAAATAACAATGGTAACCTCAGTCATGGGGTGGCTATGAGGATTAATGAGGCACTGAATGTAAACAACTTAGTGCAGCGCCTGCTCAGGGAAAGCTCCCTATGACAGTGAGCCATTACTCCCCTGAGGCTCAGGAAAGGCAAGTGCCTGGTCCAAGATCACAGAGCTGGAGGAGTCCAGGAGGCAAATCCCAGGATAGCATCAGACCCTCCTTCTTGCTGCAAACACCAGAGGCGACTCCTTGGGTGTCCCACTGATGCCTTAGTGTCAGGGCACCATGTTGCTCTTGACCTCTCCCTTGGGCTGGCACCTCACTTCAGAGCTTTCTAGTACTAGCACTGAGCGCGAGTCACTACTTCTCCCCTTGCCCCCTTAGAGAAGCAAACTGAGAACCATGACGCTGAATGTCAGTCTTGGTTTCCGTACCAAAGGAACTCAGGCCACCTTGAGGCAGAAGGAACCAGAGAGGGCGAAAAACTGTACAAGACGAAACAGTCCCAGAGGCCAGAGGACGGGCCCTGCCGCGGCTCTGCGCTCTCAGCAGCTCCTCCTAGGCCTCAGTTCCCCCAGGGGTCAGGACCGCCCCCGGCGGCTCCAGTAGGACTTTTTGCTTCTGGGGAAGGGAGGTGGCGCCCCTGCCTCACAGCCCGGGACCCTCACACCCTGACGGCTACCAGAGCTGGCTGCGGTCGCAGCCCTGGGAGTATTAGGAACACCCAACCGACCGAGGCGGGGGACGAGGGGGCCAAGGCGACTGCGTCCACCTCGCCGCGTTTCGCTCGGAGCTCTAGAGCTCCTCCGGAGGCGACGGTCGGCCCAAGGTCGCGCGGCCAGACCCTGCCCCGCGCTAGGGCAGGGTTCCCCACGTTCCCCGGGGTGAGGACTGGGCCTTCAGGGAGGCACTAACCGGGCTCCAGCGGCGGCCCCGCTGCCTCCACCTCCGTCCTCATGACCCGGGTGGCGCGGGGCGCCCATGGCCCCGGCCTGGCGCCGGCTGCAGCTTCGGCTGGGGCGGGAGCGGGGCCGGTGTATGTCGCGTTCCTCCGCCGCCACCTCCACCGCCGCCGCGGTGAGGAGAAGGGGAGGCGGCG